GGAGAAAAACCCTATCAATATGAGCAGTGTGGGAAAACCCACTCTGATTTTAGTGAAAGAACTCACCCTGGAGAGAAGACCATTGTATGAAAGAAAAAATGTGAAAGCCTCCACCAAACCCAGTGATGTTCAAATCCATGAAAGAAATCACAGTGGGGGGAATAAATATGTATGTAAGCAATGTGGGAAAGCTTTTGGTACACACACTAGTTGTCAAGAACATGAAAGAACTCACACTGGGGAGAAACCCTATATAAGTAAACAATGCAGGAAAACCTTCAGGAGACACAGTCATTGTCAAAGACATGAAAGAAATCACACTTGGGATAAACCTAATATACGTAAGCAATGTGGGAAAACCTTCACTACACACAGTTATTGTCAAATACATGAAAGAAATTCTGAAATTAGACAGTGGTGATGGCTACTCAGCACAGTGAATTATACTAAAACCACTGAATTATACACTTTAAAAGTGAATTTATCTCAATTTTTGAAATTGAAAAAAAGTGATGTTCTGAATAAAGAACATCACAATATCTGTTTGACCATAACTAGAATAAGAAATACATTCTCAATAATCAAGATGTCACATTAGGAGAATTATTGGGCAAGGGAAATTTTGATGACATAATTAAGGGGATATTAGGAATAAAACTATAAGTAAAGATCTTTCCCCAGAACCGAAATCAAAATTTTTACAGGAAGCCAAAATCCTCAAGCAACATAATTATCCCAATGTTGTAAAACTTATAGTTCGCACACAAAGACATCCTAACTACATCATCAAGGACCTGGTTCCAGGGGGCGATTTCCTCTCCTTCCTGAGAAAGAAGGATGAACTAAAACGCAGTGAAATTTTCATTAGATGCTGTTTCTGCATGGAGTATCTTGAGTAAAAATTGTATGCACAGGGACCTTGCTGCTAGAAACTGCCTGGAGGTGAAAGTAATGTTCCGAAAATCTGTGACTTTGGAATGTCTTGTCAAGAGGATGGTGGTGTATATTCACCTTCTGATTTAAAGCAGGTTCCCATTAAATGGACAGCACCAGAAGCTCCTAATGATGGGAGATACCATTCTGAGAATGACGCATGGAGCTTTGGCATCTTCCTCTGGGAGACCTTCAGCTTAGGGGTCTGTCCATACCCATATCTGTGCTTGTCCGAGGACTTATGATGTTTCTTCTCTTCCTTTCCTGAACAGTACC